TTCACTTTTCTATATTAGCGCCACGTAAGTGCAGCCGCAGGGGCGTGGCAATTGCATTACAAATGGGCGAGGGGGAGCCGAGTGTGCAAATTATCTCATACCCCGCAAATTCCAGCCCGCCCGCCGCCCATTCGCAGTAGATAAAGAGTCGGACAGCTGAAGAAATAAGATACAGCAATAGAATAAAAGGCAATGCGAATCTGACACACTCTACGTTATGCGCTGATAGTATGATCTATAATGATATGATATACCTATATCTAAATATATATAATATAGCTTATGAATTGGTATAACGATAAACGACGGGCAATAAATTGAAATTGAAATTGAAATGGTCTGGATAATGCGATGTCATCAACTTATGGGTTGTATCCGCCGTCAATTGTCCCAACCCGAATGAGAGACATTCCAATGGCACCATTCGCATCTGTGAGGAGAGCCAAAAAGCTGTCTGAATCGCTCCAAAGATGACACTAACGCACAAGACATTCATTACGATGGCAGCATTTTATAGTTGAATCTATATACTCTAAACGTTTTGTTATATGGTAAGTGTAAACACGAATGAGGCAACGAATGATATTTATGTGACACATTGCTTACATTCAAAATATGAATATGACAAGCATATCAAATCATTTCTAATTTTAGACTCATTTATGGCAGTGGAATCGATATATGTTACATAAGAAGTTGTCTGTCAGTGAAATCAGCATTGCCAGAGCTCTGTGAATCAAGGCTGCAGATCAGATCTAAGCCGAAGAGCTTCGAGCTAACTTTCTTTTTACTAAGTATGAACCGAACCCTAAACCGAAAAAGAAATGACAATGGATGTTAACGCAGCGAACTCAAGGGCGGGAAGGTGGCTCGATTTCATTTTCTTGGGTTCACAGCCCTGTTCTAAGTTAATACAAGTAATTAATGGTCAAGCTGACATGTTGCCTGCCCATTTAGTCATATTTCAACGTCCAGTTTGGGGTTTAACTTCTGACTGCCGTGGGTCAGTGATATGCCAAAACATAAGCAGCCTTTGTTGTGCAGTGTAGCCATAGAAAAAGAAGTCGCCAGCGGCAGTGGAAAAGTGCTCTAAGTTGTCGTCTGGCTGCTGCTGCTGCTGCTGCTGCTGCCGCTGATGCTGATGCTGCTGTTAAGGGCGTTACTTGCAGCTCCTCACCTACTAACCGCACTCCCTACAAGTGCACGTGTGTGTGTGTGTGTGTGTGTATCTATGTATGTGTGTGTGTGTGTGTGTGGTTCGTTTAATGGCCACAAAGCGGAAACTGGAGCGTGGCAACTGACGACGACGTTGTAAAAATTGCTGCAGTTGTTGCTGCTGCTGCATTAGCAGCCATTTGCAGCAGCTATTGATGCGCCCTGTTCTGTCTTTGTGTGTGTGTGTGTGTGTGTGTGTGGCGTGCCTTAGTGCTATTTATTTATGTTTGCTGCGGTGTCTGCTGGGCAGTCGAAATGATGACATGAAAAATTGTGCTGCCTGCCTTTGGGCGCTGCTGCTGCTGCTGCTGCTGCTCCTGCTGCTTAGATTCCTATTGCCGGGCCTGAGGCAGCTCCAAGATACCAGATACGAGCAGCATTGCCCAGCCGAGCTTTTCATGTTTCATGAATTTATGGCTTTTTAAATCGAAACAAAATTCGATGCTTGTTTAAGCCGCACCAAATATGCCAAAATGTGAAATCGCCTAGCTCGGGAATGCCTACATGACAGCAGCGGCAACAATAACAACAACAAGTATGTGAAAATATTCCAACTATGAAATACCCTGTTTGCAGCGTAGTCACCGGTAAAAAGGGAAAGGTAACGAGAGTTTGTGGCAACAATATTTAAGAGTTTGCCCGGGCCAACTTTGTTTGTTTCAACTTTGAGTTACGGTATCATTTTCCTTTAAACTTTAATTATATATTACATATTTGAAGATGAGTTTCATGTCGATCAAATAAAAAACATTCAGTTGGAATAAAAGTTTCCCGCCCATTCCGTGGGGTAAACTTAAGAAATCATTTAAGTATTAATGTAAGCTGAACACATATTCCACACGCAAATTGTAAAATAAAATACATTTTTGGACAAATTTTTGGAAATGTGTTGCTACAATCGTGAGCCAGCAATTTTCCACAGCTGCGAATGGAATTTCAAAAATCGTTGAAACAAGTATAAATTAAGTTTTTTATATAGAGTACTGCAAATGAGTCTGACGCCGAATATACGAAATTTAATTGATATTCATTTTCCACCCGGGAGAGATGGATTTTGCGAAACGTGTGAAAGTCATATGAAAAGAGCTTTTATGACAATTCATAGATATGCAACCCAGCAAATCTTCAATCCCAATTTCTACCCAAAAACGATGGATTTTCGGAAAGCAATTGGATTGTCAGAAAATGAGTTTGAGGCCGATCGGAAAGCAATCAAAATAGTTTCAAACAATAATTTTATAATATTTTTTCACCTTTGCGGGTGGGTTTTCGTGAAATCTCGGTTTAGCCTATATGTATAAATATACCTTTTCGAATATGTTATTGCCAGCGCCTACGCAAAACGAATACGCTCCATTTCCAAAAAGGGTTAGAGAAACAACAACAGTAACCACACACATTTGGCCAAGCATTCAAGATTTATGAAGACTCTTGCATTTTTATTTACGATGCGAGAACATACACACACACAAAGACGTAAGTATGTACATAAATTCGCGTTAGGTTCAGGTCCTTCAGTGCGGCTCCTTTCTGGCTGGGCCTCAAGGCAAGGATTGCCTTTAATTGCAGTCCAGCTTCTGTTTCAGTTTTGGTTTTGGTTTCGGTTTAGGTTTGAGCTTGGGTTACGGATACGGTTTCAGTTGTCCTCTTGCAGCTAGCCGCAAATGTTGCCGCGCCATTAAGCGCAGCGTTGACTGCGGCAGCGACAGCGGCGCTGACAGCGACTGCGGTGTCAACTGCGCTGCCGGCCTTGGCGACACGACGCGCATAAAAAATGAAAATCAAATCGACGACACGCACAGTGGAGGCGATGGCGACTGACGGACAGAGCCGAGTCGGGCCGGGCAAGGGACCTAGGATTGGGTCAGCTCGGGCCAAGCGAGCGAGAGTGTGAGTGTATGTGCGTGCGTGGGTGTGGGTGTGGGCATGCATGTGGGCGTGGTCGCTGCCTTGTGCTAGTTTTCGTCTGTGCAGGCAGACAAAACGTTTGCTTGCCACAGCTGTGGCAGCTGCGGCCTCATTTCGTACAAGCCGCTAAAACTGATGCTGGCACGTTGACCAAGTCCGAGTCCAGCTCGAAAGTTCGAGTCCGCGTCCGAGTGCGAGTGCGAGTCTAAGTCCGAGGCGAGGCGTGTCCGTGTCTGTGTCCGTGTCTGTCTATGTATCCTGCTGTTAGCTGGCATTGTCCTTCGTCCTTCGCGTTGTCAGCTGTTTTGCCGTTCACTGTTAGCTGTTGGCCACGTCCAACGCCCAAAACTCGATTTCATTTGCACTTTCCATTTCGTATGCGCCCAGACAACATGTTTCCTAATCTGCCAATACCCTGCATGCAGACAGTCGCCTGCTCCAACTGCTCCATATCAAAATCCAAATAATATGTATATAAGCATGTGTGCGTGCGTTGAATAGCAAGCATTATAAACGCGTACTCGTACGTATTCATGACTATGAAAGTATGATTATCATCATATCACATTATACCAGATTTTGCTCTTCCATGTTTTCACAATTTAAAATAAATCGTATTATTGGATACTCAAGATTCGACTAGAATATCATAAAGACACTCAATGTTTTGTGTGTGACTGAAATCTTTTACGGACTCGGCTAATAATATTTTCCTTTCATACAATTTATTTTATTTGCAGCTCGTTTTCTTCGAGTATTTAAATGTTAAGTCGTGTCATAAATAATAAAACATATTTAAATTGAAATATTTTTAACCTTAGTTAAATTTTAATACTATTTATTATTGTGGGAATTTTAATAACCCCCAAAATCAAACAAGTTTTCGGACTTTGGTAAATCATTCAAATATCAAAAATATATTTTTGCTGCGCATCCCTAACAAGCATACAAGAAGGAGAGCCCAGATATATATTTCCTTCCGATATTTTCCTTCAAATTTAGTAGTCCAAATTATAATTTAGTATTTCGAATTGGATTGTTGCTGATGTTACAGAACGATAGTGTAGCTTGCAATTGCTGGGCTTAATCAAAATATAGATACAAAAGAATAGCAGACAAATTGTACTTAATAATAATTTGGATATTCGTGAAGAGCATGTTAAAGCTCGCAAGTGTCAAGATTAGTTAATAAATTAATTTTGGAAGGATCACTCCCTATACTATTAGTCCGATCCAGCGGAACCGAAAGACGGATCTATGCAAGGTTTCACGACGATAGCTTTTAAATAGAGACTATAGTTTGCAAAGAAACTGCCAGGCGAAGGGGCGGACTTGGACTTAGTTTGGGTAGAAGTGGAATGCGTACTGCTTGATGAGCGCATTGTTAATCTCCAGCTGATGGGGGCTATTTTATTCTAAAAAGAGCCAATAAATTTGACCAACTGTTGGCCCAAAGACGCCGTGGATTAGACTTTGTGCCTTGGGGTTAGGATGCTGGCCCGATTGCTAACAAAAAAACGTAAAAAGTAAAAAAGAGAAAGAAAAACTAAAATCAAGCTGCTGCAATAAAAGCCTAGTAAAAGTGTGCACCCCCATGGACAACAAACCCATCCTTTGCCCCATGGAGCTGCCAACTCTGAAGCACTCGGGTGCCTGAACATTTCTGGCTGTCCAGAAATGTTGGTCGCAATGTCAGGCGATTGTTTTTTGTGTTTGGAGTGCTTTGCGTGGCTTTGTTTGAGTTGCCACTTGAGGCAGGGTTGTTGAGGGGGTCTTTTGGGATTGGGTCGAGGTCTAAACCGTATGATAGAGGTTTGGAGCGGGGAAAGCGGATGAGGAGGCGCTTGGGCTAATAAATACGAGTATGCGGCACTTACTTGATATAAATGAAAGCACAAGAATCATATCTATGGTCACTTGAAACCACTTCATCTCATTTCCCTCTGCGCGCTGGTGTTGAGGGCGTTGTGGGCGTGGCAGCGACCTTGCTGTTGCTGTTGCTGTTAATGTTAATGTTAATGTTAGTGCTTATTGCTGTTGTTGTTGTTGTTGTTGTATTTGTTGTGGTTGCTTTTCCAAGTTTGCGAAATGGCTGCACTTTTCCCACTGTGCTTGTTGTTGTTCTTGTTAATTTTGTTGTTGTTGTTATTATTGTTGTTTTTGTGCGTTACATGCATTTCAGTTGTTGTTGTTGTGGATTTGGCAGCATTTATTTACATGTTTATTAGAACTGTTTCCACTGTCACATTTATTTATAAGATTTAGTTATGTTTTTGCCCATCGTCCATTGTTTAGTTAGTTGATTAACTTTAATAAATTAGTTGCATATCATTTGTTGCTATTGCTGTTTGTTTGCGAGCTCTAGTCGGCATATATATATATGCTCATCTTTATAAGTATATATACATATATACATATATATTTATTCTGTGTATATATATTGTAAATACATATATTTGTTACTTGGCAGTATTCGATTAAAATTCTTTAAATGTGCTTTTGACGCTTCCCCCTTGATCCCTGCTCCTCGCGATAGTCCTTGTGCCGCTGCTGCTGCTGCTCCTTGTATTGCCCCGCCTGCTGCTAGTCCCAGTTTCATTCTCTGTTGGCCCTTTTGGCATTTGTTGTTGTTGCCGCTGACGGAGAGCTGAAAGCAAATAGAACGTTTGCCGCACATTTAATTAGTATTTCTTATATATATTTGTTACTAAAAATTTTATTCTTTTATTGTTGTTCGGCACGAACAAATTTACCAAGAATTAACGAGATTTAGCCACAAAAGGTCACTGCAAAATGCGAAACTCAAAAATACGAAACGCAATAAACAAACGTTAACCATATTCGACTGGTTGATACCCTGCACTACACAATGGTCTCTACTATGCCGTACATCTTACAGCCTGTCACAGCTTCGAAATGTCAGCTCTAGGGCTGATTTGTGGCCTCAGTAATATGGCCTGTCGCTGTGTATTTTGCAGGGTATGTGATAACTTTGGCTATGGCCTGCTTATCCTGTTTCCTTGTGGGCACTGGGGCAAAACTTTGTCAAAATCCAAATGAGCTGCTTTTGGGCATCACTTGGTCCGCTTTTTGTGTTTTTCTCTAGTTTTTCACATTTTCTTATGCAAATTCATTTTAATTATCATTTTGCGTCTTGCGCATCTTTTGGCACAAATTGAATTGTTTGGCGACAGGCAAACAACGGCGCAGAAAAAAGTACAAAAACAAAAACAAATTAAAAAAAAAAGGAATAAATATAAATATAAAAAATGAAAAATTGTTCCAGGCGCATAAACATTTTGTGAATTTCAATTTGTTTATGTGGCTCAAAGGCCCTTTCAGGCTTATGCCAAGTTGCTTTTATAGCATCGCAGAGGGTATTCGAATTTTGTCTCGCATTGTGTAACGCACAAAAGAAGATCTCTTCAACCATAAATTATATATATCACATATTTTTGATCCGCAGAAACAGTCGAGATTCGTCTGTCCGTCTTTTTGTCTCTATACAAACTAATCTCATCATACTTTTAATACATCTTATTATGCTCACAATGAAATGGCTCCTAGAGGAGCATTTGATGGGCTTTTGTATAAAAGCACTTCTATGCCATATGTTTGCAAGAGTATTTAATATTCGGCCTGCCTTGTGTTTTTATGTTGCCTTTGGGTCGGCAGCTTACCTTGCCCACTGCTATGCATAATTTAATTAATAATACGAGGCTCAGCTTGTCCTAATCCTTGGTTTAATTACCCTGTGATATAGTTTAGATGAAAATAATTGCTGTGGCTGTGCAAAATGTTCATTTGGATAGATACTTGGCATAATGTACGCAGTGGCAAAATAATATTTGCTCAGAAATACGCACCAAATGTGGCACAATCCGATCGAAACATAATTTCAATTGTTAGCCTCGAAAAGTTAATTAGGCTTAAGACACGCCCCTCATTTCATTAGCTTGGGCATAAGAAGAGTGATACGAGGATAGAGCGTGAGAGAGAGACAGAGAGAGAGAGAGAGAGAAAGAGCGAAAGAGCGGGTAAGTGAAGTCAGGTCTCGAAAATCAAGTGTTAAAACTCTTAACCTTGTCTTAATTCCAAATTAAATGGCTGGCAAATTGAAGTGTGCTCTTGCTGCCATACAGTTTTACAATTTAATTTTTGTGCGGCAAGCTCGGCAAGTTGAGGCTTAAGGCCTCCTACCCGCCCGCCAAAAATGAGCATTGAAGGCGTGAAAAGCATTTCGGAAGTAATTTGGGAAAATGTCATGCATGCAACGCGGCGTTGTCGGGAAACGCGACCTGTCCTTCATTCGCGCGCCGTTGCCTGCTCCTTCAGCCAGTCTCCTGTAACAGCAGCGGCCTTCCTCGAGCTGTCAAATATTTAAAAGAAAACCCATAGTGGCCTGCAGCAGCCAGCCAGCCAGCCAGCCAGCCAACCAGGTGGCAGGACGACGACACGTTTTTGATGCAACAAAAGATGCCAAGTGTCAATTTAAAAAGCCGTTGCCAAAAAAAAAAGAAAAAAAAATAGAAAAAAAAAATAATAGACGGAGCAAAGCAAAAATGTGCCAGGGGCACCTTTGGCTTGCCTACATACCCTATACCCAGGTTCATTCCCATTCTTATGCTCATCTCCAAGCTCATTCTCAGTCTCAGTCTCATTCTCGTTCACGTTCACGTTCATGTCCTCATCGTCAGCGTCAGCGTCCGCCTCATCCTCATGCTCACCCCATTCCCATCCTCATCAGCCTCATCCTGCTCAACGTGCTTGCCTGGCACTTGAAGCAAAAAGCCAACGTTGACAGCGTTTAAGACGCTCGCTTGGGCATTGTCCTTGCGTGCCTCACTGGCTGCTGGCTGCTGGCTGCTAGCTGCTTGGTTGACAGCGCAAGGCTTCGCTTGTCCTGGCCTGCTCCCATCCTCGCCTGTTGTCTTTTCATATTAAATGCATTGCGAGATGTGCAAGAAAAAAAAAAAAAAAAAAACAAAATAGACAGAAATATTCGATTTTTCGTCAACGGCGGCTGACAACTTCCGTTAGCAGCACAACAATGAAAGCTTTGCAACCTACTCACCCCCCCCCCCCCCCCCCTCCGACCTCCCCCGGCCGTCTCATTGCCCCTAGCCAGTGCCAGTCATTCAGCAGCTCCCCAGTCATGACAGCTCCCCAGTCAACAGCGTACCAAGCTCACAACCTTCCATCCGCCGCCCCTCAACCTTTGGCCTGTCTCTCGCTCTCTCTCTCGCCCTTTGCGTCGCCGCTCATTATGAGCGCTCATTAGGCGGCGCTCGCGGCATGCCAGTCAAAGAGAGGCACGACCCCAACAGCAACAATGTATGTGCCCTCTTATGTTGTTGCTGTTGTTGTTGTTGTTGTAGACCATAAAACGCCACGTCGGGCTTTACAATTTTTTCATGCAACTTGCATCGCCTCAGCCTCAGACTTATAAGGAGCTTAACACATTAGCCTGACCTGGCACATATGTTAAGTAACTGGATATTATTATTATAATTATATGATATACTTGCAATCAAATATTCATAATAATAGCAAGGCTCTATTGGCTAAGACAATCCATTTATTGGCTTGAACTCGCACCCGAGTAGTTTTTTATTAATTCGGGATAAACAACTGACTTGCTTTAGCCATGTCCGTCTGTCTGTTTGAACGCTTTAGTCTGCAAAATCTAGACAAAAGTTATTTATGATAGATAAACTTTAAAGCCCTGCGCACAAGCCTAACATTATTCTATATCTCCTGCGCTTTTTATACTATCGATAAATATCGATTTGAAGGCATGTTTCTTGGGCGTAAACTTGTAGATTATAAGAGCTTAATATTCCAAACTTGATATGCAAGTTTTTCTACCAAAAATCAAGGCAACTCTTTGACTGATTTAAGATTAGACTCTGGTGTATGCATAATGATATATAAAGTCAGATATCCATGTATTTGGCAACTTCGCAGATCTAGATTCGACAGTGCATTTTCTGTAGATGTTTTTTTTATATCTCACATAATGTAATATAATAGCTTTTAAGTCTTGTCACGTTTTTTCAATTCAGTTTAGTTTAAGCGTAATTCAGCTTAGTTCGCAGCACCAATTTTGCGCAGTGTATGTCGAAGGAGGGAAGGGGGGGGGGGGGGGAGGGGCGTATAAAATCCTTGTCTCGTCTCACTGAACGACTCTCAGTATCTCATTGTTGCTGCTGCTGATTTTGCTATTATTACATGCATATTTTGTGTAATGAGTGCGATTAGCATTCTCAATGAAGTGGGGGTTAACAATGTGCTCTGCATTTCTAGTCAGACGAGACCTGCTGCTGAACTCCTCAAGAGCTACTCTGTCGCTGACGTTGGCATTGTTGTTGTCGCTCTTGCTGCTGCTGTTGCTGTGTCATCAACATAATCATCGACATCAACATTTCAAATTGAGCAACACTATTAGCTTTGCTGCTCACCCCACACACACACACAGGCACACACACCTAGACCTGGAGCTGTGTTTGATCAATTGCCGCGCTTACTTATGAATTGCTTCTAGCTCAATTTCAAGTCACCTGCTCTTGCTCTTTCTCTCACTCTCTCTCTCTCTGTCTGTCGGTTTCTTCGTCATTAGCTATCTCTATCGCTGGCCACGCCCTCTATTGTGCCGTCCTTGCCGTGCGCCTCTTTAATGTTACCCACTTTCTTATATATTTTGTGCCCTGTCGCATTTTTGCAGCGTTATCCTTTCGGGTGTCTTTTTTGCTTTACGCTCGTTTTCGTTTCGCTTTTGGCTGCCATTTTGGCTCATTGTCTACTTATTTTGCAGCAGTTGGCTGGCTCTTCGATTGCCGTGCCACAGCCGTGTGTCCTCGCCCTCGGCCTCGCCCTCTTTTTAAGCCCTTGTGCGTGCGTGCGCCCCTGTGTGGCACGTTGTCCTTGTCAGCAGTTCGCAGTTCGCAGTTCGCAGCAGTTGCCTTGCAACGTCTTCTGCGTTTTTTGTGTGTGGCCTGCAACGTATACATACATTTGCACAGAGAAAGACTATTTTCGATAACTGCGTCTGGCAAGGCGACAACAAAAACAACAACAACAACAGGAAGAAAAACTGTGGCATGTAGCTGACACGCGACCCAGCTGCCAGGTCTCAGTGCCACCTAATATCCCTGTTGTTGCCGGTACCCGTTACCAGGTTCCCTGCTTACAGCTCCTGGTCCCAGCCTCATCTCCTCATCTCCATCTCCATCTCCATCTTCGTCTCCATCGCAGTTATAGTCTTAGCCTGTCTGACTTCGCCAGCGCCTTGGCAGTTGATTTCTGTCACAGCTGCTGCTGCTGCTGTGATTTGTGTTTCCTTGTCTGTGCCATACATTTGTGTCTTTTTTTCTGTTGCCTACTTTTCGGGGGTAGCTTTAAAATTTATTGCTCATACGCCTTGTGCGTCAGCTATACCGCATTTGCGCATTTGGCCGTAATATTCGTGTATTTATACACATATCTGATGCTAAGCCGTTAGATCGTCGGCATAATACGACCATATATCATGAGAACTTCAAGTGAAACTCAAACTCGTGCAGAAAGTGAAAGCTGAATGTGAAAGTGAGCCGAAGCGGCAACTGGAGCTGGGGCAAGTCAAAAATAAAAATAATGATGAAGGCTTCC